TAAGCGGTATTTTTTCACGCGAGCGAGCTTTTTCTCCGTTCGGGAAAATCGCGGAGACGATTGCACGCTTTGTCGAGAGAGAGATCGCGAGATTCGTTTCGCTGCGTGATCAATGCGTGAGAGATTAATCAAATACGGATATCTAGATTCTCCGAAAGAGGGGGGGGGGATAGGGGCGCTTGGAAACGCTACTACGAGTCGCGATAGTGGAGAGCGTAGTAACGAGAGACAAGGACGGATAGACGCATTGATAGTAGCGAATCGCGTTTCGCAATGATCACCGACACGCATCGCGGGGCTCGCTCGTCCACGCTCTCGATCGATCGCGTACAGATAGCCGCTCCGCTCTCTCATTCTACGTCATCGGGACGAGTTTCACGTACGTGATACGTACATACGTACGAACCCAACGTACGGCCGAGAGAGCGCGTGTACACACGACAGGCATAAATGCGCATATCGACGAACAACGTGCCTGGAGGGGTCCGTACTTTCGAAACAAGGCCACTATAGAAGCCGATCAGCAGCAGCCGACAGAGCGATACGCGGAGTCGTGCCAGGGACGTGGCGAGTACTCGCGTGAGAATCGTTGCTAAAAATAAAATGAAAAGCAACACAAATATTATATGAAAAATTAACACAATCATTAATCGACAATACAAAATGTTGAGGTGACATAATGTATTAAATTGATACACAAACGTGTTAAAAATTTAACACAAATTCAAAAAAACAAGAATCGGTTTTAACACAATGTTTTTGCTATGTAGTATATATTACTACAGTTTTTTTTTTTGTTACAATAGTAGAAAATAGGATTGGCGTTAAAACGTGACTACAATTTGCGGGAATTTTTTTTTCAATTTTTCAAATTTTTTCTCAATGTACAAGCGAGAATACGCTCTCGTGTTATTGTCAGCAGTCTTAGACACCCGTTTAAAGGTGGGGTGTGTTTACGTGTTTCGACTCGGAACACGACCGGTGCACACGCGAGAGCGATAACGCTCTCCACGAGGAGAGATCGAATAATAATTTGCATACTCGAGGGTATCTTTTAAAGGGGTTGAGGGGTTAAGCTTCACGAGCGAGCGATAATGTTAGCGATATATCAGGATCGGCTTCTTCTTCCACTCCTTCTCGATGAAGATTTCAATCTTGACACGTGTTACACGACGAGTTACGCTTTTGTATCGTTGACAGTGAGGAGGAAATTCTTGCGTGACGCGCATTTGAAGTCGCCGCCTGATGGTGTGAGTCACACAGCGGGAGCGAAATAAAATTTTACATTCACCTCGACGATACAAACGTCGAACGTAAACATACATCGTAAGAAATACATTTCCTATGACTGTTCTATTGACGGAAATCGCGCGATACCGTTAGTATGGCTCTGTTAACTCGAGCGGATAAAAATTTATTCGCGTCGTAACGACACATTCCTTTCGACTTCGTGAACGATACTTCGACATATCCGTGCGATTTTGCGCCTTTAATGCGCAATTTTACGTCGCTTCAGTACATTCCTCGGTTTAATTCTTAGCTTAGCGACATTTGATATTGTTACGCGCAGACCGTTTGTCGAAGGCTGAGCTCTTCACTGCCAAGCGAGGTGACATTAAATGCGGACTATCTCGTGCACCCCGAAAGTTTGTCGGGTAATCAGCCGAAGGAAAAAATCTCTACGTCTGGTATCTCACCGATAGATCAGAGAATAACGTAGCAATTTCCGGAAGGCAATTATAAAAGATACAGGTTATCGAGCGGGTGGGAAAAGGTGGAAAAAAGGTGACTCGGCGGGCCGTTTCTCCGAATGTATCGATTATCTCCGCCTCGACCTTACCACCACGCGACTGTCTCGTGCGATCCATCAATCCGACTGAACGACGACGAGACGATGATTATGATCTCGGTCACCGAGACCATCCACATAGCCGACACGAGATAGCCGTGCTCCAGGCTGACGGCCGAGCAAATCGCGCGCGAGCTTGGCACGGCCCTGATCGAGTGTGACTAAGCCGGGGCCGCCTACGTGCGTGATGCGATGTGTCGGTTTTCCCTCGCGTCTCCTCCTTATCTCGTCGTTTCTCTCGCTCGCTCCAGCTCGTCGTCCTCTTCGGGATAGAGAGACGCGCGTCTCGCCGTATCGGAGCCGTCACGGAAAAGTACCGGTCACACGTCTACCCGGTGGTACTCGATCGCGCGCTCACTCCTTCCCTTCTCCACCTTCCCCCTCTGGCTTCCTTCGCCTTATCTGCTCCGCGTGTGCCGTAGGCGAGGCCTCGATGACTCGCGTACGTACACACCGGAGTAACTCCTTGACGTCCCAAGAATCGGGCGGGGGAAGGCGAGGACCGCGCAGGATTGCGTGTTACCGCGCGAACAGCCGTGACCGAATGATTCTTCTCGCTCGTGCGGGCAATAAGTTGGCCGTCGTTGTTGTTGTCGTCGTCGCTCGGGACCTCTTCGGCTCGCGAGAGAGAGAGAGAGACGTGTCGATGTATATTCGTTGCGGCGTGTGACGCTGCACGTCGATGAGATATGTAAGCTGCGTGTATTTTAGCTCCGTAGTTAAAAATAGCATCGACGGACGTGGATGACGTTTTATCGAGAGAGAGAGAGAGAGAGAGAGAGGTCAGGCGAAGAGAAAAAGATCCTTATCATAATGATTTTTCTTCGTTCTAACGCGTATTATAATCGACGTTTTTTTTTCTTCTTTTCTTCTTCGCCGATTAACGCCAGAATTCGCGACGCGGTTGCATTTTTCCAGGACATTAATCGAACCTCCCTCTCTCTCTCTCGCGTGACATTTCCACGATTATTCCGGAGTATACATATCCGCGATATTAATTAACATTGGAGAATTTCACTTTGTCGTCGATCTCGCTCTTTTGAAATTGGACCGACCGTTCGAACGAACGGTAATTACGCGCGCCAACGTTAATGCAATCGCCACGCGTGCTCTTTTAGCGAGCTTTTCGGGCAGACGTAACTGCGCAACATTGTCAAACACATGAGGAAACGATTCGTGGCGCGATAACGTCGTATTCACCGCTAGACAAACGAAAGCCGGTTTATCAGACGAGCGTACGTTATTAAGCTCCGAAAGTCAAACACTCGGGGCACATCAAGATCCGGTTTATCTGTTGTATTTTTATGTGGTATCTGAAAAATGCGACAACTGTAATACCCGATACTTGCTAGGTGGCGATACCGGGGAGTTACTTCCTGGGAATATTTCGAATGTATCGTCGCGTTAACGAATAACGACCGCATACGTGAGCGGAAATCGCGTTTGCTCGGGGTTGCGGGGACGACCGATGCGCTCGTGCATACACAAAAGACGCGCCAAATGCGCGTAATTGCAGCGAGAGTATTCCGCTCGCTCGCGACGAATCGCGGCGAGATTAGAGCGGAATAGCGAGTAGCAGGCGAGACGCGCGACGAATAGCGTGAAAAGAGAGAGAAGCCGATCGCAGTTAGAACCAAGAAGTTGCCTCGCGCGTTTTATTATACGCTTATTTTTCCGCGATGCTGAAACATTCTCTCGGTGATTCATGCCCGTCGCCACCGACGTGACTAATCTAAACTAAAAGTTAATCTCTAGTGACTTTCGGTAAATCTAAATTTACCAGAATCGAGGAAAAATTGAGTTCACGTATGCTCAGTCACACGGGAGAAAGACATCAAATCGTAATTTCGTTATTTCCATTGTGTCGGCTCATTTCTCGCTGGGGATAATACAACTGAAATTCAGTTGCCAGACCTAGTTTCCAGCTGTGGGAGTTAAAAACTACGCAAAAAATTAGCTAGATTAACTGAATTTCAGTTGTATCATAATTAATTTCTTACACGTGGCAGTTATTTTTCAACTGTGACAGCTTATTCTTTTTTTTTTCCCGTGTACGAGTGAATCATTAATGGAAAGCGACAATTTCGTAAATTTAGATTTAACCCGTTGGCAAAAACAGACGTTCGCGTATCGGACCAATGACGACGATGCAACGCAACAATTCGGTAGCGTGGACGTCATGATGCATCGTCGGTCGGCGTTCGTGTACGCGCGGTATGCCTGCTAATTATTTCGACTGCTTCTTTAAGCGACCCGGGGTAAACATTATCAAAATGCAAGGACCTCGTGGGCGACGTGTGCGCTCTCACAACGGATAAGGCCGTCGTTTTGGTGTGCCGCGTTAACGATAACGAAGCCGGTTATGAAAGTGAGCGGCGGATAAGGAAAATGATTGAACTCTCGCCGATAACGGTGATATAACGATATCACTTTTTCTCGGGAAAACGTGTGTATCGCCATCGTTATTCGGAGAATCGACGGAAAATAGCTCCTCGCCATCGCTTTTTCCCTCTTCTCCCGTGGATTCCTAGCTCGTTAAGAGTATCGTCGCAATTAACGATCGGCTAATTGACACTTCTCCGGAATCGAGTCGCGACCCGTGAAAGATTCGCTCGAGAAAGAAAGAGAGATCGATCCGCGCTTATTTCGGTATACGGTTATGCACTTTTTATCGGTCGATTAAATATGCGGAGCGCCGTTGGAAATATCTCGATATCTTTTCAGAAACGAACGTCGCGAGGTGGGAATTGATTTAATTGCGCGCGCGACGGTTTTGACGCGACCGAATTTCTCCGTTGAAGCAGCGCGAGAGAAAGATCCCCGATGGAAATCTGGATTCAAGGTCCGCTCTCGGGAAAACGGTCCGCCGGTTTTCACTCCTCGTACCCATTATCGCCGGAGAGCGACACTTATTTTTGCCCGCGATGCCGATGAAGTCATTGGGCTACAAAGGCGGCGATTATTGCATAGCGCGTCGGAATCACGCGAGGATCGATAACTTGTGGCATTTAACGCGCGAACTTTTTCATGAGACTCCGATCTTGAATTTTTAACTTGGAAACTGAAATTTTAATATTTCCATTGAGGAGTTTCCGGTGCTACTTTATGACGCTCGGCTCTGTGTGTTTGACGATCGTTGTTACCTTTTCAGGTGCGTACGTCGGGCCATCCATACCATTGGCACCGGCTAACGTCGCGGCCAACGGCGGAGGTTCGCCTCTTCGTCCACGAACGAGTCCTCCACCGCCGCCGCCGCCGACACAGGAAAGCGCCAATGACAATTCGCAGACGAATCACCATCAGGTATGCATTTAGCGCTTGTTATTTATTCACTTATCGCGGGAAAATCCCATTTGTATACAACGAACGTACAAATGAATGTGAAGTAGCCATTTTAGTAAAGATATATATTACACGTAATAAATTAATTGTAATTATATTTCACATCATTATTATAATCGCTGCTATTAATTAATGATAATCATTAAACTGGCCGCCTGCATAATGAGCCACGTGTGCTTCGTGTAAGAAAGAGGAGAAAAAAAAACAGCTGCTCGAAGAAAAATCAACAACGAAGTTGCAACGCGTCGATTAACGATAACGCTTATTTTCGTTTCTTCAGGGCTCAGCGAACGGTCCGTCACCGATGGCCGCTTTGATGTCAGTCGCCGACAATCTGACATCCCCGGAGCCAGTGCCACAGCCGCCGAACAATCCCAGTCCCACCAGCAGAAGTCCGCCGACCACGGCTACGAATGCTCAACAGCGCAGCGCCTCCAGGGGTTCCCAGCACAGCCCGAACAGTTCAGGTAAATTGACCGCGCCTCGATTATCCGTGTGTTGGACTCGCTTGAAATGTAACGATCGACGTTGCGCCTTGATGATTCGCAGGCTCGGGCAGACGGTCCAGCAGCTCCAGGCAGGTGTCATCGACGACTGTGACGACGTCCTCCGAGGGCGCGGTTGCCCAGGCTGCAGGCGCTGAACCGGTCTCGGCGCCCACCTTGAAGTGTACGTTATGCCAGGAGCGCTTGGAGGACACGCATTTCGTTCAGTGCCCCAGTGTGCCGCACCACAAGTTTTGCTTCCCTTGCAGTCGGGACAGCATAAAGAGACAGGGAGCCGGCTCGGAGGTGAGTGCATCTTCCTTTCGGAGTGTTTACTGCCTGAAAAAATCGGGGAATTCCCAAGGAAGGAATTTTATTGAAAATTCGACTTATTTTGTTTGTAACCTTTATAAATAAGATTTTACAATTTTACGCAATATAAAATGTTAATTTTTTTTTAGAGTTTTTACATTTCTTTCAAAATTTTCCGAATTTAATCGTTGAAATTCGAGCGATTTTTAATTTGATTTTATGACTTATAAGCTTTTACGAACGGAAAATATTAAGGATTTTGCGCTATAAATATATATTCATTTGCGAGATACATTCAAAAATATTTTTATTTTATCTGAAATTTTTAACAAGGCCTGATCGTTTTCTAGCTGAATTAATACTGCACTAAAATTTTGTTCCTTTTCCTTTCGACGTTAGGTTGTTTCACCTTGAAGGCAAAAGTGCAATCTGGTTCGGCTGAGACGAACAAACTTAAAACGAAGTAGATACATTGATTTAGAAGATTTTCTGTAGAATACATATTTCATCTCTGCTTTGTTTGTATCGACACTTGCGCAGTATTTGCGAGAGAGCTTTCGAATCAACCGAATTATATTAATTGCGTTAATGAGTTATATTAATACAGCTATTACTTGATCGAAAAAGAGAAGAAAGATAGCTTTAAAAGGTGCAGCTATGAACCCAGTGACGTCCGCCGAATTCGAGCGACAACCTTGTCATTCCTCGCATGTCTTGTGTTGCAGGTATATTGTCCGAGCGGCGAGAAGTGCCCGTTGGCCAACAGTCAGGTGCCGTGGGCCTTCATGCAGGGTGAGATCGCCACCATACTCGGTGAGGACACCCCGGGCTCCGCGCTCAAGGTCAAGAAGGAGAGGGAAACTTAAGGGAGCCTTACGATGTCGATTCAGGGCTCAAATTTTCTGACCTCCGTTTAAAGAGGGGGGCTGTTAACTGGTGGAAACCGTGAAGGTTTTACCGAACGCTTTTGGTAATGGCGATAAGAGAGAGGGAGAGAGAGAGAGAGAGAGGAGAGAAAGAGGGAGAAAAAAAGGAGGATATATACCGTTGGCCACGCGTGAGGCCGACGGTAACGACTCGAGCCAAAGACGTTGTCTGGTGCGGATTCTCACGAAGTTGTTGTCGACACGGGGGACGGGGGAATTTTTAAGTGGGGTGGAACGGAGGAAAGTGGACGATTTTGTTTCGCGCGGAACGGACGCGCGAGGAGAGGAGCGGCTGGCTTACGTGTTTCGATGACGGTCGAATTCAAACGGGTGCTGTTTGGTTTGTCGTTTTGCGACCGGTCCTGAGAAGAAGTCTTTGGCAAATTGCACGCTGGCAGTCGGTTCTGCACACAATGTACATACGGATCTCTTGTAGAGCGGTTGACGCGCGACAGGAAGGAAGAAGGTTTAAATATCTTTCGCCACTTCTGGAGGGGGGGAGGCGCGCGTTGAAACCGCGACGACGGTGATGACGATTTGTGCCCGGTTTGGGTTTGTACTTAGGCTCGATACGCCTTTCTTCATTGTCTCTTGTATCGCGGGCGTAATCGCTCGCGTTCTCTCACACGTATACACTTACACACACTGTACATTGATACGGAACACGTGCGTTTACACACACACACACACACACACACACACACACACACACACACACACACACGGAGAAGCAGACTCGTTTGGGACGCGGTACCGCACGCGGCCGCGGTTGTATTTTATTTTTTGCGCGTGTTCGATCGCGAGGTCTCGCGATCGCGAATTTCGAACGACTTACGCGAGAGGCAGGCATCGTCCCGGCGATCGCCGCCGACCTTTTTTCTATTCTTTCGTTTGTATACTCTTTCTACCTACTTATACACCTACCTATCCTTGCTCGTTGTATTATATATAAACGTACGACGGACATTTTCGAACCCAGTAAGCATGGGTTTTCTGTACATTGTGTATATGTGTGTACATACCACATATTATTAATGAAACATATAACTTGAAACGTATGAAGAATTTTTAACAATTTTTAAGTGTACAAAAGTATATATATGATATACATATTCGTTTTTGCGTTCTATCTATTAAATTATTTTTTTTTTTTCTTTTCTCTCTCTATCTCTCTATGTTTATTCTCGCGGACAAAGTTGTACGCGGCCATCTCTCCGAGGGACTCTTTTCGGTGCACAAAGACACGCGAAGTCCCTTCCCTCTTTTCGTTTCTCGCACGCGAAGGCATCGCGTTGCTGCTCTTTAATCATCCGCGCTCGTCCGGTCTTCGGGGAGAACAAAAACAGAAGAAGAATAAGAAAACGAAAGGCTCTCACACTCGCGTGAGACACGTACATATATACACGCATACGTGTACACATATACTCGTATACATGCATACATACATACATACATTCACACACGGTGAGCGACGTCGCCATCTCGGAGCCACTCACGAAAACGGATTATACGAGTAAAGTAATAATGACTGTTGCAACGTCCACTTTTCGCCTTTAGTTTATCGCTAGACCTTAAGTCGAGGGCCTTTTGGTTTTTCATTTTCACCGATGAAAAAGGTACGCCCGTCAAAATAGGAACCACATACTCGCTATGTCTAAAAGATAAAGTGGAGGGGAAAAAAAAAAAACAAGGCAGACATTCTCTCGCCGGGCGCCCGGGAGGAGGAGGCGCGATCGTTCTCTCTCATCACGCCGGCGGTCCTCGTCGCGGATTCTCCCCCGCGCGCAAGAGGGACTCTCGGGTGCAGGCGACTCCTTTTGTATATATTTGTACAAAACAGATCGGCACGCACAGTATGGCGGCGTAGAGGAAACGAAGAGAGCGGGGGGAACGACGCGCTCGGTCGTAGAGGAAAGAAACCCGTCGAAGCGCGGCGTTCCCGCGATCTAACGACGACGACACGTACGCGATAACGCGAAGAAGTAGTTGCGCGACGGAGACGCCGATGGGAGACGCGATCGATAGCAATACTTTATTACGGCTGTACGTGATATTTTCCGTCGAGCCCCGGTGTCGAAGGTGGCGGCAGCGAGCGTGCCTTCGACTCGGCCGTGGTTCGAGGACCTTAGGAGCTCTCGCATCCTTCTCACGCGACGCTTGTTGTCGCGCTCCTTTTAACGTGCTAAACCTGTAAAAAGGACAACTTTGTACCGGATTACGAAAGAGAGAGACTTGGTCGTCGGACACCGCGTCATCCTCGCGCCGACCGCCACGCTTTCGATGTGACATTCGTTGTATATTTTTATTCTCGCATTTTCTCTCGCGCTAGTCGTTCCGGCGGAGGATACCGCATCGTGCGATATTATCGTTTCGGGCAGTCGTCCTTCTTTCCGGAGAAAAAACACGTTACTCGGTCACTTTGTTGTCGCACGTACCTCGCGCCACAGGATAAAAAAGAATCGCGTGAACCGGTCTTCATCGTACGGCTAGCTCGTGCTCTTTCCCTTTGTTGTTATTATTTCTTGTTGTTGTTGCAGTCGGTCGGCCGGCCGGATGAGCGAAATTGGTGTGTTCACCACGAACTTGTCGAATAGATCGTTGCGATGAGATACACACACACACACACACATCGGGATCATCATAATACTTTATTACCGTAATACACGTAATGACGGGGCGGTACTCTCGCTCGCTCGTTTTCGCATTTATCCAATTTCGTTGACGACGACCAAGCCGGAGGACGCTTTCCGGGTTTTCATTTCCGATGAGGCGCGCGTGGCGATAGTTTTCTCCGATCTCGGGGCAAAAAGAACGAGGAAAATACGAGGTACTTTCTTCACACGATTTCATTGCAATTCCGTTCAGTTTGTCTCTTCTCTCCCCCACCCCCCCCCTTTTTTTTATTTTCCTTCCCCTTTTCTTTTTCTCCGTTCATTCGTTCGTTCGTTTTTTTTTTTATTTTATTTTACGATTCCCTTATAGCTACACAGAGAGATACACGAAATCGACGAAGATATGAAACAATACGACGCATAGCAATTGTAGTAGTGGATAATGAAATTTTCTAGTATACCATACCTCGAGAGGAACGCGTAACATTGTACTGTTTATCGTATGTATGCATACAAGCAAAAAACAAAATATATGTGTTGATGTGACAGAACTGTGTGTTTCCTTCGTTTCCTGCGACGCGATAATCCTGCACGACCTTTACGCCTCTTACATACGCGAGGCCGGCATCTCGCGTGTTTGTGCGTTCGTTTTTACGAGAGCCGCGCGTCTTATCGGCGCCGTTTGCGAACTTTCGCTGCCATCGCCGGCCGAATCGCAGATGCGTGCTCGCGGATCGCGATAAGGATTGTTTCTCCCTTTTTGCTCATGCTGTGACGCAACGCACATGCCACGGCCGCAGCTCTCCTTTCGACCGAACATCGCAAGAAAGTGTACGTTCTAATAATCGGCGACTCGATAGCCGATATCCGGAGCGAATAATAGAAAGTGGTGCGAGAGAGACGGCCGCTCTCGGTCACCCGCCGAGGTGCTGCTGCACGTGACTTCGGCGTTTACCGTGGCCTGAGAGACACGCCATCGCGAAAATTGATCCTCCCGTTCCCTCCTCCTCGTCGTGCACCACCTCGGGAGGTACATACATGTGTGTATATATATACAGCGACCTTAGACCCGACTGTTTCGTCCGGGACCTCCGCAGTGGAGAGGGGAGGAGGAGGAGGCGGCCACGAGCCTTCCCGAACCGTGAAAATCAATGCCAATATTCAGCTGGGATAGTTGGGCCAGAGAGGAGGGGGACGAAGTGGCGGTAGAGGAGGGGAACGCGACGTGGCGGAATATTGATCTGCACGTTCCAGACGACTCGCACCATCCGCGCTGTATAACGCCTGTATGCGCGATGACTTCGCGCGCGCTTAAAGCGGATCAATTATTCAGCGCTCTCGATACGCGTCACACCGCCGGCGTGTCGACCGCGGCGAAACAAAATCGATCGTGCCGGATGACACGTAATTAGGTGGAGCACGTCTCGCCCGTAGTCGTCTCCGCGAAACTGAATTGCTCGAGAGAGGAGTCGATTTTCTCTCTCTCTCTCTCTCTCTCTTGTTCTCCTTCGAGATAGATTTATCTCCTCGCGCGTGCGAGCACAATTTATTTCGTTATCTTCCGTTCATGACTGCGAATTAACACGTTGAACGCCCTGCTGGCTCGCCGGTGAGCGACTCTATGATACTATCGCGTTTTATCGACTCCTGTATAAAGTCTGATTAATTACATCTAATTAATTACCGCGAAGTTGCTTGTACGGCTAATAACGACTAATAAAGGCTAATAAAGAGGCGATGACACGAGGTAGAAGATGAAATATCTATCTCGGATCGTATATTTATTGTTCCTCCAGCAATGAAATTGCGCCGGCTTTTGCGCAATCAGGGCGAATCAGCGCGACAGTCAATCGCGTTATTTCGCTTCGCGTTATTATCGGGCGATAATAATATCGACTTGATTTTATCGGAAAAGGACTCGCGTTTCTTGTACGTTAACTACCGATTCCGTGAGAGAATAGCGGAAATTCTCATTCTAGCCGGATAAATTCTCCACGAATTCCTACAGGCGCGTCTTTTACGAATCGTCTTCGCGAGTTGTTGTGATATGCAATTTCGATTTCGACTCGGCAGGAAATCGTGACTTTTGGCAGCGCCTTTAGTAAGGAATTACCTCACATTGCTTGGAACAATAGTCTAAAGCCGGACTTCGTAACTAATACACCACGGTCACTCCGCGATAACGAGATATCCGATAACGCAACCGCCAATTATCCTGTCCGTCTCTCGTCACGAAAGCGTCGTTTGCATTGAATGAACTCGTATAACGCGGTGTTTTTTTTTTCATTTTCCCGCACGAGTTGGTTTCTCCTCCTCCTCCTAGCGGAACCATCTTTCGCCTTTAAGGGTCAACATTCCTGCCTGTTATTACGCGATAGCGCGTCGCGTAAATTACAGCCGCGGTGACCAACCGCTCGCCGACGACGGTGTCGCGCGAGATGATCTCCTCGTGCCGATTACGCAAAGATTCCGACGTTACGACGACACTGAACGGTCCATCGTCTTTAAAGGACGTCGTCGCATTACGTACCTTTGACGTACCGTTATTGATCATCGGAGCACGCGCGTTAAAGCGGCGAACTCCTTGCCCGGCTAGCGGAGGATCGTTGACGTCATCCGACGTCGATCGGCCTTTCGCTAAATTAGCGTTGTCGCTAATTCATTTTATTGCGCCGACATTTTCTTTGAAGGAGGCCGACGTGCGGCCACGCGCGAAAACGGTGTTAACTTTCAAGCGCAGATTTTCGGAGACCAATGACGTCGCGTGAATCTCTTTAACACGGGAGTCGCGCGACACACGCGATTCATCCGCGGCGTAACGCTCGCATATTTATGAATCGCTAAATTAGAAACTGGTAATTCTCACGCCGCTCGATGCCGAAAGCGAGTCGGGAATCCCGTCGGGAGGATAGGAGAGATTTCACCTGAACGAATTTCACGCACGGAGTCGCGACTTCGGGATTAATTAAGGATTAACAGCGTTGCGACGGGAAACATTCTCGCCGAACGCGATACGTCCCCTTTAAGGATCGATACCATTGCCTATAGAGACGGCCGGCGGTTGCAGCCGGCCGGGGAGGTTCGACGACGTGGCTGAACGCAAACGCGGGTACGACGGCTTGATTTTCAGTGCAAGTCGAGAAAGAGAACGAAACGACAGAGAGAGAGAGAGAGAGAGGGCGACCGTCGCCACCCCCGCCTCTTGAAGAGACTCCGAGAGCTTTATTATCGTCGGTCTCTGAACCCGGCTTCGCACCGACGTAACGCCAACGCCTCTCCCGTTTCTCTCCGGGCTTGCAGCGCTTCCCATTCGATTCGCGCACACCGATCGATCCAAGCGCGATTTATTGAGGGCTCGCGAAAGTTCGTCGGATTTTCAGCCGGCCGATTCTCTTTTGTTAATATTTACGAAGCCATCGTGATCCTACGCTTTCTGTTTCTCCAGGTAATTTTCGTCATTATTTTTTGACAATTTTTCAGGTACTTTTTTTTTTCCATCCCGCATCTATTATAATTAATATATGCCCAGTCACGAAAAGGTTGCAATTCTGTTTTTCCGACGAGTTTTGCGACGCATCTTGCATCCAATAGGAAAATATATCTCCTGAAAATTGCTAAAAAATAAATTCTTCTGTTGGACACGAGATGCATTCCGACACTTATTCGAAAAAAGTGTCTCAGCCTTTTTGTGACTAACCGTACGATATGTAATGTTATATTACATTTTTATACATACAGTTTCTTACAACTCGTGATCTTCATTTTTTGCAAAATTCTCTCAGCAACTTAGAGATAACTTGTTGACGAAAATGTCGAGGAGTCATTATTCATACAGCAAATTTTCAATTTTTATGTAATAATTTCTATCTTAGTTTGGTTAAAGTAAATTCCGCTTGAAATTGATCGAAGAAAATAATCTTATCCACTTGGCCGGTCGAAGTTCAGTTCGTGAGAAATTCTCCGTTTTACTGATCGATTGTATCTTGGGAACTATCGATTCCTGGACATTCTCGCCGAGGAGAGTTTACTCTAAATCGTTTATGGAACGTATCAATAAAAATAAGATCGTGAGTTGTGGGACATTCTGTGAATATAAACGTAGCCGTAGTTTCAGGTGCAATTTGTGCCAAAGGTCTCAGACAACAAAACGTTTCAAATCGGCACGTAAGACGTTTGTAAATAAAACGTCTTATGTCCCGATTTTCGACGTTATGTTGCCTGGGGCTTTAATAACAATAATTAAAAAATGATTCATATTTCGAGCCGACGAAATCATGGATGATCCGATTCATTTTCTCGCAAGGCCCTAGTGACTTCCTTCTTCATTCATCACTGCGAATCCACCGAAGGCGCGCGCGGAACGCACGCACGTGTGCACTCGTGACGACCCGTGCACGAATATTTTTTAATCGTGCTCGCATTGTCGCACGTCCGGTATAATTGGGACTAAACGCCACGTGCGCGTCCAAGGACGCGGCTCGCCGATTGATGCATATTTTAAAACGCGACACGAACATTGTTAGGTCGTATCATCGGTCATGCTATGCGCAGTTATTTAGTATTTGATGTTCCTCATCGTACCGACACGCGACACATATTGTTATGCGCGAGCATATGCGCAATTATTGCATCACCTTTCCGCGTATTAACGCGACGCGCTGGTAGGAAGTGCGACACGGTGGGAACGACCACCGCATCGATCGTGAGATCTTACCTCAAGATCTCTCGGTGGAGCGATTAACACGTAGACCGTCGCCTTGATTTTACTATATCGATGATTGTATTATCAATGAGGCGATATAATTACGAAGAATAAATATGTATAATTCGAGATATTCAAATCTTCTGTCTCGTCTCATTGGCTCTCTACTCATTGCAAAAGAATCGATTTTTCCCAAATACAATCAATTATACTTAACAAGATACTTTATTTTCATTATTATTATACACAGAATAAGACAATTACCATCTTGGGTATTTAATAATTAATTTATATTGTACTTGAGTTACTCGATTCCTTAACATTTTAAGTTAATTCTTATATTAATGTTAAGTTATAATTAAGTTAAGCTGTAATTATACTGAAGTTACTTCGGTTTCCATCTCATAATTATAATTGAGTTACTGTGCGTAACTTGATGAGACGCGGTAATATTATGATGCCAACTACTGATGACGACGTGTTGAAGAGAAAGATGACGTCTCACACGGGTATTCGCTTTCCGTTTCAGGGAAAATTCGAGCTCTCCAGAGTCGTGCGACGAGCGGATCTGCTCGGCGACTTCGCGGGGAGAGATGACTTCCGCTCGCACATGTTACTGCAAACAAGAGGGGTGTGCGCTTCGCGAGGAAGATAACGATATCGGAACGCGTAGCGAGAATCGTCGCTCTGCAACCGTCGCGTCTAGGAAATTGATAGTGAAGAGCGGGGACAGCGGAGGATTTTCCGGAAGAGCGAGGAGCGTCGTTGACGAAAGAAAAGTATGAAAGACGGAATTTTTTTATTTTTTCACGCTCCGTTGATACGCATTTCTACGACGCGTTAGCTTTCATTAATTGCAGTCTGACACGGGCGGATCGATCGAAGCGCGAGTTCGCGATCCGGTCTTGAGTCCTGAGACGTCAACAGCGCTCGAGAATGCCGAGAGGATCATCAACGACGCGAAGATACAACTCGCGGAGGTCCGCGCGGCCTCCGGCCTCGATTCTGCGCGACGAGACATAGACACGTGAGTGAAGGATAATTTCTATAAATTCAATTCAATTGTGCAGTCACAAATGCTGAGTAATTTTCTTTCAGTGTAGATAATGAGTAATAGATCACGCGCAATCATATATCTCCCGACGAGAGTATAATTTCTGAAAAATTTCACCAAGTCCCTTGTCTCCGCTAACGTGCTGCGCACGCACTTTCAGCTGCGTGGATGACCCGCCGTTGGACGACGAGGCCGAGGAGCTGCTGTACATCCGCGAGCTCGTCGCCTCGAAGTTTCAAGAGACGAGCTACCCCCGGAGAGCCGAAGCGTGCGCCGAGGAGAACGCGCGAAGAGTCAGCGCACGGAGAGTCGATTTGTCGGCGCCTAAATTTCGGACGTCGCAGCGACGACGCGCCGCCCCTCTCGAGTGGCGGGCACGAGGACGTGCACCGTCGAACGAGGAGGCGACGCCGTGCGACAGCTCGACGACGTACGGCGTGTGCAGAATCCAGATAGGACCGTCGGTGCACGTGAGCGGGGAGCTCGCGAGACAGGACCTGGAGAATGTGCGTGTATCGCCGTCGCCGGCTCGCCAACGCGCGAACACGGCCACCTACATCCTGCGTCACGAAGACCTTGCTGAGGAAAGTCGCGTGAACGAGCCGGCGATGAGGCCGCGACGGCGCGCGAGATTATCTCCGAGCGGGAAACTCGAGGGACCGATCGTGGCGGTCGAGAACGAGGATTCCGGGCACGAAAACAGACAGACCGAGCCAACCACGTGGCAGGTTCAAGAAGGGGTCGATTTGCGAGATGCCGAAGACGCGCCTGAACGTCCGAGCGCAACGGACGAAGGGGAAAGATCGGACGATCAATCCGAGATTCACTTAGGCAATCGCGTGAAGAGTCGTCGCAGCGGAATATTCAACAAGAAGAGCGGCGTCGACATTCCGGGTCGATACGAGGAGCAGGTCGCTGATAAGATCCGAGGCGATCGATCAAAGCCGCCTCCGCCCGGCGACGTTTCAAGGCGAGCGAGTTTTCCCCGGCGTGGAAATATCGCCGGGTCGCCGGGTCGAACGACGCTGAAACAATATCGGACGATTGATCGGTGTCTCTCGAACACGTTCGCCGTGGAGGCGACACGTCGTTCGCGTTTATCTTCGGACGACTTTCCAGCGAAGGACGACGCGAGCGAGCTGTACCGACCGCGCTTCGACCAGCTGGACTCGATCTTGCTGTCCAACGACAAGAAGATCGAGCGCCTCGTTCGCGCCGCTCAGAGCTTCGCGGAGTCCTTGTCGAAGCCCGAGTTCGCCAAGTACAAATTCGAGGAGGGGAAACGGGAACCGTCGACCGTCGACTCTTCTTCAGGCGACCGCGAGGAGCCGCTCGCGTCGAGCAAGCCGAGTCCCTCCGTCGAGAACACTACCTCGAAGAGTCCAAGTCGGAGCGTCTCGCGAGAGACCTCCACGACGAAATCACCGGGTCTCTCGGGGGGAAACGTTCGTCGTCGCGAGGATCGTTCGAAGAACTCCGCGGAATCTACGGAGGGACCTGCGTCGAGGTCGAAATCACGCTCGTCCTCGGAGTCGTCGACGAACAAGTCGGAGGACGTCTCGACGTTCTCCAATCTGTTGTCCAGCACGCGCACCGACGCGCAGATCGCTCAAGCGAAACGTAGCGCGTCCGCGGACTCGAAGTCGCGTGTGACGAGTCGCAATGTCGACGACGTCTTCGCGCGGATTCTCCGGGATGAGAGCACGGACCGGTTCGTCGCGTACATCCTGCAGGAGGAGAAGCGCAGCGTCGAGGAGGGGAGAGTCGCGAAAGTCTTGGACGAGTCCGTGATCGCGACGGTGGAGAAGCTCCTGGTTCGCATGCGGGAGGCCGAGGACGACCGAGCGACGCGTCGCACGGAGACCTTGGACGTCCCGATGGACATCCCGGTCGACGCTAAGAACCGGACCGACGACGACCAAGTCGATTCTCGGAGCGTGTCGCCGCGCCCGCTCGGGGACGCGCGGCAAACGCCGACCTTGAGCGAGAACGAACGGCCGATCGAGACGGGCCACGTGCACTCGTCTGATCCTCTTCCTGAGCGCGCGGAAACGCGAGGAAGCGTCCGCTCCGCAACCCACATTGTTCCGAGTTGCCGAGACAACAGCGAGAGCAAGAGAGAGGGCTCAGAAGGTGACTCGTTGAAGAGGGTCTCCGACATTCTCAGCGACGAGGTCGGCAGTCCTAAAGAGAATTCTCGGCTTTCGTCCGCGAAGACCGTGGCCGTAGGATCGCATGAGAGGGAAGTCGGCGGTCCTGCGACGTTCCTAGATGGAAAGAGCGACGTAAACGAGTCGGCAGAGGTGCAGGATGATCAGCATACAAACGGTAGTGTCCCGCGAGCGACGAGCACGGGTCGAGCGGACGACGCGCTTTTAGGTGTTCCGGATGGCACACTCGTCCTTGCAAAGGAAGCAGGAGAGGAGGAGAAGGAGATTTCAGCCGACAACGTTTCCTTGAAGAAGGTATCGGTCCCGGGGGACCAACGAGCGCGATCGGGACTCGAGGACGTCGTACGATCGTTGATTGAGGAGAGCATCGAGTCTTCGCGGCTACCGGCCGGAAAGGACACTCGTGATCCTCGAGCGGATCCCGCGGCTGACGGGAAGATCAGCCCCGTGAATTCATGCTCGGCCGATTCTCTGCGAGACTGCGCCTCCTTGCGCTCGTTGTCGAGCGCGCAGAGCGACGAGTCGCCCTTGAAGGGGGCCCGCTCGCGTGCTGAGAGAATTTCCTTCGGCGTCGCGCCCGAGGATAATTCGACGAAGTCGCATAACGAGGGCGTTCCCGGCGAGCCGGCGACGAAAAGTCGCGGGAACGGAAACGAGGAGTCGGCGCTTCCGAAGAGCGAGCCGCTTCGCCCGGCCGTCTTGAAGAGCTTGTCCAGCGTCGACGATGGCGAGTGAGTGTAACGGCGTTGTTGAGTACAAAATTTGGCGAAAAACGGCCTACTGAAAGGTTTCTGTTGCTTTGTTAAAAAGTACAATGTTAAATTAATACGTTCGCCTTGTCGACATACTGATTAATATTGATTGATAAAAATTAAAATAACGAATCTCAGTGCCCTGTTTTTAACACAAAATTTTTACTTTGTAAACTGCAGTTGGTAATTAAATTAAATTGCTAACAAATTAAATTCGATTAAAATGTTATCGGCATTTAGAGAGAGAGAGAGAGTTCTACAATTATAATAATTTATTTATTTGTTTTCAGATCCAACAATGGCGCATTTAACAACGATACGAAGAGAGTAAGCAGACACGATAGTTTCCGAGATATAAACGCGCGACTAAAATTGACGATCGCTATCGTGTAAATTTCACGTGTTCAGATTTGTAACATTATGCGTGGGCGCGTACCGATCGCTCATCTGCTATTGACAACTTGGCTGATCTCATTTTCTGCTTACGTATAAGTATCGCATAGAGTGTAGCAATTTGCTGATATTGACAAGCTAATTAATATTGTTGAACTTTAACTGTCGTAGCTAAATAATTGATATTTAATTTCTTTTTCGAGAAAATTATCGCGCTAATTATTGTAATTGAAATGTGCGATTAATTTTAATCGTGTTTGGAATAACAAAGTTGTGGAAAGTATTAAAACAAATTAATTTTCGTTATTGCTTTTTAATATCATTGATTTTTCTTTTTAAGCCAGAATTTAGAACAGACGCTCAAACTTGGCTTGTATTTAATGGAGCTCATGGCTCTGGTCTAATCCACGTCAAGATCTATTCAAATGAAATCAATCGCATCCTCGAAGGAGAAAAGGGTTAAAAGACTTCACTGATCATTTGGCTGTGACAGTTAAAATTTTGACTGATTTTACGACATTTTGAAGATTTAGTTGCAGTCCACCTCCGCAAATGACACTTGAATATTATTATTGACTCGTGCCATATTTTAAATATTACGATAATTACAAATTATAGAATAAGCATATATATATATATATGTACTAATAGGACAAGTAACATTTCATAATAATTCGCAATAATGTTGAATTAGCACGCATGCATCGATTAGCCAATTAATCCGACTTGCGCTTTCCAGTTTGGGACCTCGTCCGAGATGTCTCATTCCGAGGGTGAACTGTACATGCCGAGTTCGTGTTCCTATTCTCTCGGGGAGGTGAGAATCTTGGAAAAGAGCGATTTGAACGCGAACAGCACGATCGAACGCGAAAGCAGTGTGACGATCCTCGTTACCAGGAGCATGTTAACGTCTTTAAACGATTCCTCGGTAAGTATGCGAAGAAGATAATAAAAAGAAAAGAAAGAAAGAAATATCGTTGTGATACTTAAAACTTTATTCTCTGTTGCAGACTCCGCTGGGAACTTCCGGGCGTATTTGATGATTCGCAAGATTGTACTTCTCGATGCGTCAAAATACATAATTTATAATCACACCCTAATTTTAGCATATTTTAATTTTAACGATTTCAATTTATAATCGTCGTAATGAAAACAACCGCGTCATCGAGGAGAGATTTTCTTAACAATTCGCACGGAAAAATAATTAATATCAATTCAAGATTTATATTCTCGTATATAAGCAAGAATCTTATCAATCTAATTTTATATGAAGATGAAAACTTGTTTACACGAAGGAATTCTATAGTTTCATTAAAAGTATTATATTTTTGTAAAATTAAAGAATCTTTTTCACGGATTAAGAGGATAAAAAGTATTGAATAGAAAGAACGATATTTTCAAACTAAGAATTGTATCAGTTTAAAGATATCGTTCTTTCTATCCAATATTTTTCCTTTCAATTCATTCTTCAAAATTATTCTTCAATAACAAGAATATGATAGCATTTTCAATGAATCTATACAGAATTTCCTTGTGCGTAAACAAGTTTTATCTTCGTAAAAGATTATATATTCTTGCTTATACACGAGAATGTATGATAATATGTATCTCGAATTGAGACAATAATTTTTCTTCTGTGTACATGCGCGTGACATTTTTTACAAATGCACAATTTTCTTATTACTGTTATAAAGAGAGGTTGAGTCATAAGCGACGTCGTTGTTTCGTATCGATTAACAATTAATCGTAGCGATACACAACAATCAATCAATCCAAAATGTATACGTATGATTAAATATATTTATACATCACGTATGGCACATTATGTATGTGCACATACATATATGTCACATTTAAATATATTATCCGTTTTTTTTTCGTTATCGCTTTCGTTATCGGCTGTCTTCGGTATGGCCGAGAATCTCCCGGAGGTCGAGTGGAAATTTTCTAAGCGACACTCGAATCCCCCTCACGATCTTTACCGAGCGATTCCGGAGCGCATTCCAAAGAAACCGTGGGACTCCTCGGTGTCTCGCAACACTTAAATTTGACGCTGAATTCGTTCCATCAACGCCGGCCGTCCAAAGTCTATTTATTCACCGATCACGCTCGCGGTTGGCTGATAAAAAAAATTTACTTCCACGACGTGATGCAACGCGCGCTCGACGAAAAGTAAACAATAGAATTAGCGCGTAGGCCGAGTGCCTGGAGAGAGGGCAGAAACAGTGAGTCAGAAAAAGAGGGACAGAGAGAAAGACAAGACGCGTTATCTAAGCGGTATTTCGAGCGACGCGAGGCCCGGCGACGCGTTTTAAAAAGAGGCGTCGTTTCGTCGCGGACGAATTGCTTCGTACGCAGAAGGGACTGGGCGACTTTTTGAATGCGGCGGTGTCTAACCTCGACTGGCCGTACGCGCGCAGCGCAAGCATGAAAATCGACTTACGGTGGGTCGTTTGATCAGTGACGCGAAGGAGGGTGGATCGGTTCTTTTCAGCGACGGGGGCCGCACGCACGATCGAGATAGATCCGTGTCTCGCGAGTCGATCGATGTAACGGCGTGGCGGACGAAGCCGAGAAAAATGTGCGACAAGTATGTCATCGGTTATTGGGTGTCGGAGAGGAAGCGGCAGAAATTCAATTGGACCGACTTCGAGAACGTCTGCGAGAGCGCGGGCTTCCAGCTGAAAATGGTGAGGGGGTATTTCGTGCTTGGTTATAGGTTATGTTTCGGTAGCCGACGTTTTTCGCCTGGTTGATTCCGCCGGCGTGCGGATCTCGAGAAGTTATAGGTGTTTTCTCGACATTTGTCGGAACATTCGTCTCTGTTTCAGATCGATGTGAATTCAAGCCTGGAAAAGCAGGGACCACTACACGTTTTTCTACACAAACTGACGGACACGCAGTCGCACGCGGAGAGCGGTGACAAGAATGTACGATGATGTTTCAAGCATAGGCCTGTTCTTTATCGCTGAACTAGTGTGCGCTTGTAGATGTTAAAAAGAGACGAATATACAGTTGAGATTTGGTGGGAGAAAGAGCAGTTCGGCAAGAAAGAACGGATCTTGCGTTGATAATTGTGTGAAACGTCTTTTTACACGCAGGCCGAAGATATAGTGTCGAGACTCCAGGAGTACATTGCCAAACATCCGGATCTGATCGTCATCGATCCTCTGGACAATATTAGGAACTTGCGCAACCGGTGTACATCTTATGAATTTATACAAGAAGGTCTTAGGTTTAGCGGTATGCTTGCGCTTTGTTATGTGTCTGCGGAGAAAGCAAGAAATATCACACATTGATCGATCTCCCTTTTCAGATGTATTTACTCCGAACTTCGTAGAAATCAAGAGCAGAGATGTTCACGAAGTAGCGTCAACATTGAAGAAACGTGGCATTAAGTATCCATTTGTCTGTAAACCACTTATCGCATACGGCTTCAGCGATGCGCATAAGGTAAAGCTGTTGTTTGCGCACCGGATGTGTGTACGCAAAAATATACTAATGTTGATAAGTATTGTGTTTAATATCGTCTGAAGAAGACGAAATTGTAAATACTCGTGGATAATAAAGAAAAGAAAATATATGCGCTTAATACTGTGTGTGATTTCAGATGATGATCATCTTCAACGAAAAGGACTTGAAAGACTGTCAACCGCCCTGCGTCGCTCAGGACTTCATCAATCACAACGCTATTTTGTACAAGCTGTTCGTCGTAGATGAGCGTTTTCACGTGGTGGAGCGGCCCAGCCTGAAGAACTTTTACCAAGAAGACTGTAATTCGTTAAGTACAATATTCTTCGACTCGCACGATATATCGAAAAGCGGCAGCAAGTCCAAGTGGTCGATCCTTTCCGAAGAAGACATTCCTTTAACCATGAAGCCAAATTACCAAGTATTCGAGACGATCGTCAAAAGCATCAGGGAGATATTCGGTCTCACGCTAGTCGGGATAGACGTTGTGATCGAGAATCACACCGGGAAGTACGCGATCATAGACGTGAATGTGTTTCCCGGGTACGACGGTTATCCGAACTTCTTCGAGCACTTGATAGACAGCGTTAGGAAACTGTTGGTGGAGCAAGGAGCGTGCAGGCAGAGTCCCAAGGGCTGCACGTTGAAGAAGTGTCAAAGCGACGACCTGGATTCCGGCTTCGAGAGCGACGAGAAGAGGAAGTGTTCCACGAAATAAGCGCGCGTTTTTCTAACACGTTGACCGCCATCATATGGTGGTGGTCCCGCCGGTGGTCTCATTGATTAAATACATGGTCGATATGGAATAAGATAAAACTAGCTAACCAACGCATGTGCTTAAAGATATACATTTACCTTAACTTTGGTTAATCGTTACTTTAATCGGTCTGTGGAAATCAGCATGATGGCAGTCAATGTGTTAACGATGATATATCCGAATTAGGCTGTTAGAATTCCAATTCCAATGATATCTGTCGATTGTTTCGAGCGCGTTTATACCTTTTTCTAATGAAGCGAAACCCACTCGCAATTTTTCCAGTGAACATGCGATATTTTCGGTGTTTCTGTTATGATGTATCACGTTTTTAGCGCGTTCGCTTATTCAATAGGATGGAGAGGAGGAGAGGAAATGTTCCACGAAATAAGCACGCGATTGCGTAATATTTAATTCTACCTTTTCGCTGCGGAAACCAAAAGTGCTCGCTGTGTGCGGCACGATATTCGATTGTGCGACGTTGAGGCGGAATAATAAAGAAAATTCTAACTGAAAGATTCATATACATATATACAAACAAGATGGATATACAGCGTCCGCAAATGAGGAGCGATTCTCCACAACGTATGTATATTATATGTTGAGAAGCTACTTTTCGGCGACTTACATGCGTCGTATGCAGCAAAGGGGTCGAGCTGTTAGGATTACGGTTGGTCATGATATTGTCGCGAACGTGTCTCTATATAATATTTTCATAAGCAAGCAAAATTGTCGGGCTCTTTCTCGCGATATTTCTGAATTATCATGAATATACAATGGTTTCCGTTACGATAAATCGGGCACGTTCGGCACGTTTGTTCACTTCATGAAACTTATGCATTTGATCGCGAAAACTCGAATCCTATATTTGTATTTTGTAATAAATTCCATAGTACAATATGACGACTATATGTATGTATATATATACATATATATACATATATATATACGACTGCCAGAGAAGATATTTTGTACGTTTTACGTATACATACAGTTTTGCATTTCTGCATCGACGTTATTATATATGGCTGAATTGTTGAAGATTTTGTATGTACATCATGTAAAACACAGCGATACGGAGCGCATATTAAGATAGAGAAACAATCGGAATTATTTGTCATATTTTTCTTCTTGATGTTAGTGAGATATTTTCGTTATTTTTTAGCGGTCATGAGATAATAAGAGCCGTATAATTCTTGTTTAATGGTTTTAGGGATATTAATGGCGTTCTGGAGAAATATCACGCGCTTGTAACTTTCTTTCGATCATTAAACCGATTGTTTCTAAATATCCGAAACATTAGTAATAAGTATGGTAACTCCTGTAACATACACACATATATACGTATATTTTATTCAGTTCTGTTGTATGATATGGAATTTGATATGTAAAATTTAAACTGTATACTCTTATTTATATGTACATATATTTTATATGAATAGATTGTACAGAAATGGGAGGAGAACATTTCTTGTCTCGAGTTGCTATTTTGTTCTGATCAGTCGTAAACAGAAATAAATGCGTCGAATAAGAGATACCAGTTAAATACTTTAACGATTGCCGCGAATATAAATGTGATAAATCTACATGAAAAAAATAGGTGATCCGTGCTTGAGCTTTTTGTTTTAGTCGCTTTAGTACTTCAGATATTAATTTTTTAAGTTCACCTCGGTTTGGACCAAGAATGTTCTCTTTCAACTTCTTCCTGCGTTCATTTAGTCAAGACTCGAACCACTTTCAACGTGAAAAATAATGGTATTTATCTGAAACTCGTCTTTTTCAGCGAAAAAGTTTCTCCTGGCCACCGTTAGATGGCACTAGGCAGTCCATTAGCAAACTTTTATAGTACTTAAAATTATATCGATAAACCGGAATTTATAAGTAACGCTGTTTTATAAATTTATCCTGTGTGATGCTATGTAACAGATGAAATAGTCCTGCAGCATCTTGACACGATTTCAAAGATCGGACTGTGAATCCCGCTCTTAGACCCTCTGATTATTAGAAACCCGTTATTTTGTTTATTCTACATGCAGTCTTCGCTACGAGCTGCTATCGTCCTTACTGAAAAATCGAGCTCGTAGTATAACACAACGACAAATCAGACGGCCGCTTTGAAATAGTACGATTCAATGACTGGTCAGACGCATTATTATATTAAGGAAACATAGGTAAAATCCAATGAATTATAATTCCGACAAAACTAACAATATTGAGATAATTTAAGATAATTTTACAGCTCGAGATCTCTGGTTCTCAGTTAATCCTATGAATATAAAGATCCATATTCCGAACTCACTTTTATCGATAAAAGTGCCTTAAATGTGTCTTTTCAAACAATCGGGTGGTTGCCGAGACATTTTTAGAGACACTCTATCGGTAAAAGTAAATTCCAAATATTGACCAAAGTGTATTTACGGTGCCACACGAATATACATTGAAATTGCATCTAACAAAATCTGGATTTCCTCGTGGTTGCTGCCAGCAACGTGTCAATAAGTTACGTTGCATTTATCGATATACGCGTCGATGAAAGTGTAATTCACAAGAAATGATTACTGAAATGCGCCGTGGCCAGTAACGGAGAGAGCTACACATGTTCCCGAAAGTGTTTTACAAAAGGCAAAAGCCAGAGAGATTGATCCCAGAGAGGTCTCGAGGACACCTCTCTGGACACCATCTGGTCGTTTTACTAATCTCTTCCTAAAGATGCTGCTCGAAGACGTGCTTTTTTCGGTTAATTAATCGCGCACCTTGCAAAGCCGTGGCCCACTTCCGATCTCGCCGATAAACGATTTCTTCGGTCCACTTAGACGAGGTACTGAAACAAAAAGGGAGAAAGAAATGAGGGGAAGAGCTTGAGTGACGGTGAAACAAGGCCTACTAGGACGTCGCGTGCGAGACGGCCGAACGCATCTCGCGATGCGTAAACTTAATTAACGTCGCGGCAGCATGCACGTGCGCGCTCGTTAGGTGTCGAATCTTCGTTGTCTTCGTGCGAGACGGTTTCGCTCGCGGGCCGCGAAAGCAAGCCGGGGAGAAGATCGACGATGATTTTACCTTTTCACACTACATTGGCAATCCGAAAGTGGTTTATGGAGCGTCTTTATTTCGCGATAACTTTCACCGAATTCTGTTTCTATCGACAGCGCTTCTTCTTTCTTTCTTTCCTTCACTTGCAATTAATTCGTATCGATGTGTAAATAACAAGTTTATTTATTCCTTTCTTTCTACATTGGACGCGACTGTCCGGTACGAGAGGAAAGTAGCGCGATCAACTTTCCTCGCAGAGATTTTATTGGTGGAAGAGAAGTTGGCTCCTTATTTGCATTTTGTACAATAGCTTTGTTGATAATCAGTATGTTAAATGGAAAAGTTAACGATTACATTTACGGCGCGTACGGTCGCACGCCGTTTGCGGAATGGCCCGGCACCGTAACAGTGTAAACCGATGTTTAATTATTTTGCACCGTAATCGTGCACTTTGCCGGTTACGACGACGACGACGACCGACCGAGCCGGCGGACTCCGGTTACGAGGAGCAACGGCCCGTGGAATATAGCTCGGCCGGTTTTGCCTTTTCTCTGTAAACCCCGTTTCGCGCGGGCTCACGATTAGATCTGCCAACCGGTCGTCCCGAACCGGAAACGAAAATGAACGCGTTTTGCCGGATAATCATATGCGCTCGAGAATTCCTATCCGCATCGCGTTCTCGCACCGGTACAATAGGGATGTCCTTCAATACCGCGTATTTTTCTTTCGATATCAGCACACACGTCAGAAGTAGCTCGCAAGACCTGATTTTTATATTTCTTCTAATTATAAGTTTTTTTTTTAATTTCGATAGTATCAGTATTGATATTTTTGCTTTGATACTGTTATCACTAATGATATCGGTATGATATCTTGATCAGGAAGGTTTCAATATTAGCACCGATACTTTCATGGTATCCCTTCCGACAAGATGTGCTCCCATGATTCTAACTCGATCGCAGCGAACGGAGAGCAAAAACGTATTCTTCGTGTCGGACCGATCTATAACGTGGGTGATTTCTTCCCGCGGAGAGATAACGACCGGCGAACGAACGAGGCTAAACTGACATTTCCGTTAATAGCGGTCGTAATGAGATGAGAAGAAGATGACGGAAACCGCGAAACGTCCCTCGTTATACGCAGCGTAGAGTACACACAAGACTGACCGCGAATGCCGGAAAGAAAAATCCTGCGAAACAAGCCGCGAGATCGCTAAGTGACGCTAATTTCTAAAGAGCGCGGAGGAAACTGTACTCTTTCCGGCGCGTTTCACTTGTCGTGATTCAAGTACCCTTGCAGCTTCTCGCATTCTATTTGATTCTGTCTCGTCTATTGAAGATTACTTACGGAAATTAGCAATTCAATGCCCCAACGTGGCGAAATTATATGAATTTTTTAATCAAGTTACGCGGTAGAACTTGGTATTATATGTCTACGATTTGTCGAAACTTGACGTCGCCTCCAGCAATAACGGAAGAAAGGGCTAAAAAGCCGCGAAGTAGGGGAAGGTGATCGGCGGCGCAAAAATCTCGAGCGCGGCGACACGCGCGCTATAATTATATCTTCTTCTTCGCGCGACGAGTTTTGCGAAACGAACGTAACGGCACGGACTATTTCCACTCGAGATGTGTGCGTATGTATATGCATTCACATTCCGAACTTTCTTAAGCAATTATGTCATAACACACAACCGTGCCCCCCTTTCTTCAGCATCACCATCCCACCACAATCTGTCCTTGCTTCTCCTCCGTCCAGATCCGTCTTCTCGCGCGCGCTCGTCCCGTCATTACTCGCTCGAGAGTCGAATTTCACGCTAACGATCGTCAAGCGGCCGTCGTTCGTTCGCGGCGCACGTGACATCCAGAAGTGCGATCCGCGCACGTTATTAACTCGCGGAAAAAATCCCGCGCAAATTGCGAAAAGCACGAGGGGGGGGGAGAGACGGGTGTAAGAATCCACGCGTGTCCGCTCGAGCCGCTGCGGATTTTGCAAATTACGGCGCGGTGTGTGAACTTTCCGTGTGTCTTTGTCTCCGAGGTTTATTAGCGCGTTGATTGCCGCTGATCATGCGAGATCGTGGATTGAATTGCCGAAGGTACGATGGATGTCGAGCTCGAAACGCCTTTTATCTCCTGTCGGCACTCTTTTTACTTATTTTACTTATATCATGTTTCTTATATAGATATATTATATTTGCGTTACGGTAAATATATGTCCGAGTATTAGTTTGCTGTTAGATTACTTTGCGTTTCCTGTTGTCTTTCACCTCCTTTTGTCGATGCTCGTATTACTTATATCAGATTTCTTACGTGAACAAATTATACGATCAAGATTTACGTTACGGTAAATATATCCAAGTGATATTTTTGCGTCTCAGCAGCGTGCTGTCTCTTTCTGCCGGCGCTCTTTTTACTTATTTACTTCTTTTCCCTTACATTATGTCGTGTTTCTCATGTGGACATATTATATAATCGAGATTCGCGTTACGGTAAATATATTCAAGTTATCCTTGTGTTTTAGCAGCAGGTTTGCGTTCGCTCATGAACCCTCACATGATTGTTCTTATAGATCGAAATACTGTTATTATACTATTCACTCAATGGCATAGCAACCATGTTTAATTTCTCTTTTTCTCTTATCTTTTGTAGCAACTTATTGACGTTAACTTTATTACTTTATCAGGCAGCTAGCCATTAAATTCTGAAAATTTAAACTAAGGAATATCGATTTCAGGGCACGACTATATTCTACTCTGCTCTATTCTATCGGTCGTGTGCGACCGATTTTTCAAGGGCGATTAGTTATACTTTGTATTATTGAGAAAAACAGAACACGGGAAAATGAACGAAAACTTTTACTTAAACAAGCAAAATTTTTTCAAACACAATATTTAGTCCATCGAACAAATTTTACAGTCGCTGCAACGAGTTATTAATTGATTCGACGATTGCGATTTGATCAACAAGTTGTTGGATTATTTGATGTAAAAATTTGTTTCGTTTTTAAATAAAAATTTACATGTAACATTTATTTATTTAAAAATGCAATAAACCGATAATGTTTATTATTATATACTGTTTCGTCCGATAACCAATGGTCGCATGGATGACAAGTGTCATCTATTTTACAATAAATATTTGCAGTACAAGATACTAAAAATGCTTAAATCGTCAAAAATGTTTATTTGATTTAAGAGGCTGACTAATTCCGTTTACTTGATTCTAGCGCTATTTTCTGCCGCGATATTATACATCCCCGATTGCTTCGCGGGCGAATAACAACGAGGCTGCTACGCGAGGGCGCGACGCTTAATTAGCCGGCTGTGCCGAAAAGTCGACGGCACGGAGGGCAGGATACGCGCTAATTACGCGACGGTTCCTCGAACATCGATTCGCCGACAATGAAGCAGTTTACGAGCCTCTCTTTCTTACGATCCTCCGCGGACGGTGTATTCACGCGCTTTGATTTACGACAATTGTCTCGTCGCGCTCGAAACTTCG